AGATGACTAAACATTGCAATGGTTGATAACTAAACATTGCAATGGTTAGATAATGAATACAATGGTTAACACCAAAACTTACAATGATTTATCATCAATACTACAATTAGCAATAGTTGCAATGATTATCACTAGATATATCACTGGTTTTTCAATACAAATTATATTCACAAATGTTTCAATGTTCCAAAAAAAAATTACAATGGTTTACTTAAACGGTTTCAAAATTTTCATTTGAATATCTATCAATCACGTCCCACTTATGAAATGTTACTTTACATAAAATTATAATCCTCAAAGTACAATCTAAACACCATATAATTATTTTAGAAATTATAATATTATAAAATAACTAAATATCAGAAAAACTAAGACAATTGTAGGTATTTTAAAAACTTATAAAAAATATATATATGAAAATAAATGAAAAGAAAACTCTCTGAAAGTATATGCATTTTAAGATAAAAATACATATAGACATTGACAACCCTTTAAAATATATAAACTTTAGAGAATGAAATATATTTTAGATTTTTTTTCAAATATATATATATATATATATATATATAATATTACAACTCATTAAAAAAACAGTACAATTTTTAGGATTAAAATACCTATTATTATGAAAAACAATTTAAAAAAAACAGTAGAGTAGTTTTAGACTTACATACCCAACGAGTATCAGTTCATATTTTGCAGGATTCCTTTTAAGCAGGTTCAATTTGGTTATACTATAGTGTTCTATATCTCCAAATAAATACTTGAAAAGTCTCCAGGTATCATTCGGTTCTTTTTCGGTTATCTGAAACCCATCAAATTTTTCATAAACATTGTTCAACTTGAAAAATGTTTATTTTATAAATGAAATGATGTAGTTAATACTGAAGAAATAATGGAAATAGATTATTTATAATATACACAAAATACTTTTTTTCCGACAATACACAAATTATCAAGGGAAGACAACGTAACTTTAGACCAATAAAACAAAAAAAATGGAAAGTCAAACCAACAAAACAAAAAAAAACATTTGAATAGACAATATCACAATAAAATAAATAGATTTAGTTAATGCTTGGATATATAGAAGTTATTCTTTGTTACATTGTTTTCGCTTATAATTAAAAGATTTTTTTGGCAAAATACACAAACCGCACACATACCGTTTTATAGGTCAATGATGTATGGCTAGAATCTGATTTTTAGAAATGAATGTAAGAGTTATGAGCCCTTTGCATGGGTTAATGATGAATATGATTAGATTTGATTTATAAATGAATGTAAGAATCACGAGAAAATTCTAAGACACAAATCAATAGTCACTAAATGTTTTCATTTCTCTTTTTTTTTTTCTATTCTAATTTCCGTGTGGCATATATATACACATGAAAGAACCAAAAGACACACTGCAAAAAGTCACCTCTGTTCATTTGAAAAGTTACAAAATTTAGATTTCCATAACTATTAGTTAACTAATTTGGTATACAGAATCATTTCCTTTATTCTTCTTCAGATTATTTCTACAATTACTTTTGGCAGAAAAAATGTAGCCGGAGATTGAGTGTGTCAGTTTTTAGAGAAGAGTTCGTACAGGATCAATGTTGTATACAGCAATAGAGACTAACTACGTCGCATTAGAGAGGTTCTTGAAAAGGAGAAAATTTTCATGTTAACAGACTTTACACGGGTGAGCTCCTCTTTTCTTGGTCTTTTTTATATAGCCATAAACTGATTTGTAAAGTTTTTTTCACTACAATGTTTCAAGAAAAAAAAACTTGGTATACGACCAACCCATGGGTGCAAACCTTAGGTAATGACTGCACCAATAGTATTTCCAAAAATATATTGACTTGTATAAACATTTTGTTAGAAGTGTCACACCATTACAATTTGAAGGTTATTTTTGCACTTGAGATTAACAAAATTAATAGAGTCAAAAATCAAACAGCCAAACGACCAAAGATTCAAACACACTTTTCGAATTTGGGACAGAGCAAACCAAATAAATGGTTTACAAAGGCTTGACGTTAAAGTTGATGCTGGTATTTTAAGTGGAAAGGTAAAGTGATGATATCTATAGATTGGGGATATAGCAAAACGAGTAAATGGTTTGGAAACGCAATTCGATAATAATTGTTTCTGAAATTCTGGATGAGAATTTGAATTGAAGAAGATAATGGAAGAACGATAAAGGAATAAGGTGTCAAAAAAGAGTAAACGTAGATATATAAGGATTGATAAGAAAAACATCATTTAAAGGTTGCGTTGGTTGAGATGGAAACGTTTCAGGGGAAAAGGTGTGTTGTTTGAGATGGAAAAGATTCAGGGAAAAGATGCCAAAGAAATAGTTGATGACGTAAGCAATTTAAAGCAATAGAATTTTCTGTCTGTTGGATCATAAAAACCAAACAAACTGGACCGTAGGATTTTAGTTTTTTTTTTCCTATAAAAAATACTGATATCAATTTAGGTTTGCTATTATATATAGATAATACTTATTTGAAAAGTTACAACTCATATTTTTTCAATATATACAATTATTTTTTAAATAAAACACACAACTTTAAAAATAAAAAGACACAAATTTTAATTGTTGAAAATACATAACCTTTCAACTTCACAACTCTTGGAATTAATCAGGATTGCTATTTTTTATAATTGTTTGTTGGAAACATACATATATAAACTGGCAACTTTTAAAATGAAAATTATGATTTGAGAAAGCATTGACATAGCTATTATAGATTTTCAAACTTTTGTTTGGAGTCACACCATTTCAATTTAAAGATTACTTTTATTGAAATAATATTTATATGAAAATTCACAACTATTCGATATAAAGAATCACGTTTTTCAATATATACGGTTATTTTAAGTAAAAAACACAATTTTAAAATAAAAAGACACAATTTTTAACTGTTGAAAACATATAAATTTTCAACTAAAATGAAGTTCAAAACGGTTGGAATTAATTATGATTGTTATTACTTACTACATTTATTACATACAATGGATGCATAGATTTTCATAACTGTTTCAAGTTTTCTCTAATTCTCCTTTATGTTTCTAAACTCTCTCCAATCCTGCTGTAGATAATTTTCCTTCTCTCCCTTTTTCTCCAATTCCAAACTCTATTAAAGTACTGATATTTCTCTGCAATTGTCCAATTCTTATATTCTGGAAGTTCTGCAATTACAGTAGGCATATTCTTTTTAGATGGCCTTGGTGCATGCTTAAAAAGGTACATTTCCAAACAAAATATTTGATGATTTTCTGTACTTTTTTTTAATTTTGGAGATACGTTTTTGTCTCTGCAATACACCGCTTGTAGTTATTTGAATGTTTATGTGATCCGATTTCTTTCTGAATGGTTAATAATATGGGAGAGGAGATATCATTTTACAAATTTCATTGTTTCATATTTATTTTTCTAATTTTGTTTTGGTTCGTGACCTTTCGCCAGAATGGTGTTATCTCATAACGACTAATTTTTCATCAGTCATAACCTTTCAATTTAAATAATGTTTACGACCTTTACAATTAGTAGATATACTTATATAAAGAGTCACAACTTTTCAATATATAGTCACATTTTTCAATATATACAATTGTTTTAAATGAACACAACTTTTAAAATAAAAAGACACAACTTTAAAATATTTTAAATATGTAATTTTTCAACTTCACAACTCTTGGAATTAATCAGGATAAATAAAAACACAACTTTTAAATAAAAAGACACAACTTTTAAATATTGAAAATACTTAACTTTTCAACCTCACATAGAATTATATGAAAAGTTACAACTTTCCCAATGCGATGCTTAGTACCTCTACGGGGAAAATTTATTTAAAAGAATACGCTCTTTAATAAAAATATAAAACACACCTTCATAATATCTTTTAACTACTTTTTCGAAAAGACACATGGTTTCGTAGTTAGTTTTATTGTTGGTAACCGACGAGTGGTGGAAAACGGGTGCTTGTGTGGTCGATAACGTGCTTTACGTTTATTACGGTAGATTCGGGTTGATGTGATTATATTAGAGAGCCATTTTCTTGGTCGATGAAAGAGTAAGTAGCATATCTATAAAACTTAATATGTCGGCTACTAACAAAACATACATCAACTTTTAATAGGTTATTAAACAGTACAAAACGTAAACATGATTAGTTAATCTACTAATAATACTAGAGCCCATTATCATTACTCCCTCCGTTTCATTTTAATTGTCATTCTACATTTAATTTTACATATTTTCAAGAAAAAAACACAATTATCTATACACCTAACCACTTTTCAACCAATAGAAAAATAGAATATCATATAAAATTAATAAATTTTGTCTCGATACTCTAAAACGACAGTTATTTAGAAACGAAATTCTTCCTCTAGAATGACAATTAATTAGAAACGGAGGGAGTATTATTTATATTTGAAAATGGAAACGAATTATTGTACACATACATTCTTTGGGATATTAAAAATAAATACATTTAAAAAACAAAAACTTTTTTATAATTAAAATGAAAACACAACTTTTCACATTTGCAATTCACAATCTTTCACATTAATGGAGAGTATCAAGATATACATTGTTTCAAAAAGTTTAAAGTATTAATTTTTTTTTTAAATAATCACATTCTTTCAAATAAACTAACTTTTTAACAACACATTATTTCAAAGTAATTTTATAAAATTTAAAATAAAAACATAACCATTTAGTTTAGTGGAGATTCACAACCTCTTAAATTAATGAGGGTTAATGATAAAAACACAAGTTTTAACAAGAGACACAACTTTTAATAAAAATACCCCTTAATGAACAAACACAACTTTTATCAAAGAAGAGACTCAACCTTTTATAAGAAAGTGCCTTATTGAACAAACACAACTTTTAACAAGAATTGAGATCTTTATAAAAATACACAACCTCTGGAATTAACGAGGATTCCTATTATTAGCAGATATGGAAATATCAGATTTTGTTTTCATGAGCCCGATGCTTAATACGTATCAGATAGTAAAATCTAAGATATAGAAACACATTTTCTTTTGAAATAAGGATCTCAAGACTCTTGGACAAGGCTCGTGGCCACCACAGGACAGCTTACTACAAACTTAGCGTCTTCGTCATCAACCCAACTCAAAACTCCATAAACCACGTCCCCTCGCAACGCACTCTGACTCTCCAATCTCACAGTGTAGCTTTGCTTCTCGTTTTTCTTGCTGAACATTAGTCTCTTTGGCTCTACGGAAACGTTTATACCCTTCAAGCCTCTCACTCTCACGCTATAGCTTCTCATTGCTCCCCCCACGTTTGTCAACGTTCTCCTCATGATCTTAGGACCATTTTGATCTGAATTGAAGTATGCAATGATTGAAGGATAGTTAAGATATGGAGATGGGTTTCTGCACGCGTCGGATATATTCGATCTTGTGATGATATTAATCAATTTCCTGGATTGTTTTACCTCGTGACAAAGGAAGTTAATAAAATCTTGTGGAGATGTATCGTAGATCAAGCCAGGGTTGAGGACTCTCTCTGTACTAACATGTCCTGCTCCAACGGCTAAAGGGTTGTCTAGCGCTAAAGCCGTTGTCATAATTGCTGATTTGATAGCCGAGGGGCTCCAGTCTTTATGGACTTGCTTTATAAGCGCAGCGACTCCAGCTACATGAGGTGAAGCCATTGATGTCCCGGTTAAGAGATTGAACCCGCTGAACAACGGTCTTGCTCGAGTTCCGGTTGTTACCGGCTTAGCCGGTGGCCAAGCTGAGAGTATCAGTGTCCCAGGAGCTAAAATGTCTGGTTTGAGGATCTGAGGGAAGCTTGTGAACGGACCTCTCGAGCTGTAACTGTCCACTTCTGGTGCTGGTTTAGTCCCGGTCACCGTTTTGTGAAACTCCAGCTTCGCGGTGGCGTTGTTTTCGTTGCTAGATGCGTAGTTTTTGATAGTTTCTTGGTGTTTTGAGCTGATGAATGCTACTGGAAACCCGAACTTGACTGTATCTTGTGCTGCAAGTAACTTATCTGTTAGTAGAACTACTGCATTAGCTCCCGTGGATTTGGCTTGTTGAAGTTTGCTTCTGATGTTTACGTTTTCTTCGTTACAGACAATGATTCTGTTCACCAAAGAGTTGTTCCCCGCATTGCAAGACTCAGCGTACGTTACTGGAAACGGAACCGACGGGAACTCTCCGGGAAACAGAGACGGAAAACTGAAACTAACTCCGTTTCCTAACGTTAAGATCCCTCGAAACTCACGACCCATTGTTCCCGCGCCAACCGTCATAATCCACGGCGCGCCGTTAATCAGACTCCAGTAATACGGCCCGTCGTTACCACCTGAGGCAACAACGAAAACGCCTCTTTGAACCGCTGCAAACGCTGCGACTGCGATTGGATCGTTTTCTAGACCGTCATCAGTGCTTAGTCCGAGTGATAAAGATATCACATCGACTCCATCTCGAACCGCTTGATCAATCGCTGCGATCACGTCTGATGAGTAAACTCCTTCCTCCCAAGCAGCTTTATACATGGCTATATGCGAGTGCGGTGCGATTCCCGAAGCGGTTCCTTGCGCGTAAGAGAAGTAAGACGCGTTCTCGACGTGATTCCCAGCCGCAATGGCCGCGACATGAGTGCCGTGTCCGATTGTATCGTAAGGTGAAGAGTATTTATCATTCTTGGTTCCTCTCAAATCAGGGTTGCTGGCGAACAAGCCTGTTAGGATCTTAACTTCGAATCACACATAGACATGTTGATTCTTCATGGTTTAAACACAAACTTAAAAGTAACTTTGACACCAAGATTTAACGAGTTCCCCTCATCAAGGGTACATCTCGTGTGGGAACCTCCTCCCACAAACATCCACTATCTTATCAAAGGTTTACATAATCGCTCTTAACCAGCGCTTCTTTGTGTTTCAGGTACAAGCTTTAAGAGAAACAATAACAAAGACAAAGAGAAGAGTACTAAAGGTGGAGACTCAAACTCCCACTTTCTATGGAGATCATCTTCTTCTCTCTTTGATACTCTCTTGCTCTCACCAAGCTATGAAGACTCCGTAGATCTCGTGCCATTACGGCACCCTTCGGTGAACCTCTATTAGGGTTAGTTTCTTGTAAACGTCTTCTACCTTCTTTTATAAGTAACTGATGTCGGTTTAGACAAACAGATGAGTTCCATTCTGGACTTGGGTCTAAAGGTTAAATGACTGAGGCCCATAACTTACAATCTCCACCTTGGGCCTAGTTCATTTACCCATCGTCTCCCTTCCGATCACGACATTCTACCTTGTCGTAATACAGACCAAGCCAAGCTTCTTTGACGGCAAAGTCAATACACTTCCCGATCCTCCGTATCCTTCAGAAACTTCACTGACGAGACTGATCGCAACCTTCACCAGCGATGCTCCTCTTTCTCCCGTTGGAATACGAATGAAGCTCTCTCAATTTGTGAAGCTCTTCTCTGTAACCCATGTACCGGTGAGTTCTCCGTCGCCATAGGCCCATAGCCATACCCAACCAGAGTCATCTCCATCATGACTTTGTTCTTCGGAATCCTTCGATGATATCTCATCTCTTCATCACTTCATAGATAGTGGAGTCAACTGCAGAGTCTTTGCAATTCCCGGTGACACCTTCGGAACCGATCGTCTCTGGTGGTCATAATTACTAGATCTAGGTACAAACCTTTTTCTTTAAGCTTCTTCTGGTGATCGTGACCATTAATCTCATATGTCACGCAACCTCTGGCAATTCTCGACCTTGAGAGACCACCAAACTTGAGATCTTTTCCGATAGCCAACCTGATGCATCTCAACCCAGCTGTGATTTCTGCTTGAATCAGTGCTGATAATAATTTTGTTTCCCTTTGATCTTTCAGATAGTGAAATCCGGATGTAATTTTAACTAGCCATCACATCCTCCAATGTCAATCTCCGACACTGTTGGCTTCTGTACTCTCAGGTAAGCCTCAAACACCTCATGTCTATCTCTCTTTCATGGCTGACTCGAGCATTGAGTTCTTCTGAGATTTCCTTCTTTGAACCATAAATCATTCATCCTAGCCATTTTGCACTTCTGATTATCATATAACCTGTAAGAAAGAACCTTAATTGAATCACATGGTTTCTTCCGCAGGTACTCCACCTGAAACCATTGATCCCAATTCCTTTTCATGGCTGCACTTCCGGGAAGAGCACAATCTTCTCTTACATGTCTGCTTACTTCGAACTGTTCTCCAACTCTTGGATAAAATTCTGAAAACTAAATCCAGACTTGTATATTTTGCAGGACAACATCTCCTTAGACGGCTTCTCCGATGAACATCCATGTTCTTCAGCTGTCTCGTTTACCTCAGGTAACTCCATAAAACTAGAGTCATATTCTATATATGTCTCTTAGGATTTTCCCATTCCGATCTTAGTTGCCCATTTGACGTTAAGATTTCCCAAAATCAAAAAAACTTTAACTTTTGATTTTATCTGATGTCAAATTCTTCTGGAAAAGAAAAGACCGATATTCTCTCAATCTTCTGGTGTCTTTATGTAACCTTACAGTACCTGAAACGAACACTCTTGACTCGTTCCTCTGGATTCAGTAACATATTGTGAAGTATTAACCTGCTTCACTTGAATCCTTTATCAGATGCTCCACCTGGAATCAAGTTTACCTCACCATGGCTCCGGATGCCTAAGAGGTAACTTCTTAATCCCTTTGATTCTCTTGATGTGCGCTTATCTTTAGAATCAGAAAACCCTTGAATCAACTGCAATAGACCCTGAGACTGAACTTGCTGTCTTTGTTTGAACCATAATCTGAATTATTTCTTGTACCGCCATCGTCACTGATAGAACACGCCTCCAAACAAAACCTGTAGGGAAGACTTTCGACACAACCATCAATTCAGCTTGTAAAGTTCAACCAAAACCCATTTATCAGTAGATCATCACTAACGAAACAACCACAACCCTGAATATTTCTTGTACCGCCATCATCACTGATGGAACACGCTTCCAAACTAAACTTGTAGGGAAGACTTTCGACACAACCATCCATTCAGCTTGTAGAGTTTAAAAAAAATAAACCCTACTACCAGTAGATCATCACCACTAGCAAAGAAATATTAGTCTCTTGTCAATGGCTGAACCATGAAACCTGAAACTTCCTCTTTACAGCCACTTTCTATCACATCTTAAGCTTGCGACAGACTTTCTTTAACTGTAAAACCTGTTCCACAATACATGCTTCTTGTATCTGTGAATCCACCAAAAACAAATAGTTTGGTGCTTGCATCACAACAGTCTTTGGACTTCCAATAGAACCCCTTCTGATTCATCAATACCCTATGACATGTCCTTGACTTGATGTATCCTCACGTGAGTTTCAATCACTTTCATTCTCTGAAAAAATCTCCTTAATTTTCTTCTTGTGATGCCAAAAGAAACCAAGTCTAGCTTTACTTGTTTCTTACTACCAATGCATAACATCAAATCATGCATTTACATATTTTCTTAGATGTCTAGATTCTAGAACACACTCAGCTCCTCTTGTATACCTTTGCAATTGCTTTTCCTGAGAAGCTGTCCACATACTTACCCTGATGCAAACCGATATAACCAACTTTCCACTAGCTGTTAGCTGCAACTGCAGAACTCAAACCGCATTTGTCTTTTTGCATAGTGTTCTTTTATAGAATCTTTCTCCTCGTTGCTTCTATAAACTTGATGAAGATCATGTCTAACTTGACAATATGAGCAGCATCTCATAACCCTTGATGTGACTGACCTTGAGCCCAAATTCTGCTAAGAACCTGAAGTTTGTCTCTGTCAGTTCAGCTGTTTACTAGTCACGTAAACATTTCATCTTCTTTACCCAAGCTTAAATATTCAGTAGTACGTACTGATCTTGTATCCAGCAACCTGTCTTTCCTAGTGAACCATTTTTTTTCTTGTTCACTCATTCACCATTCTTGGATTTCTATGCACACACTCCCGCCATGAGCTTTGTATATCTCAGTGAATGATCCACGGTTGAACTCCCATTCTTTGAATATTACTCAAACAACTCAGATCAAACATGCTTGTTAATCTGAAGACACTCAGAACAATTTCTTAATACACACACTGCCCTTGAAACTATCACATAGCTCCACCTGGACCATGATAATATAAGAAACGTCTCTTATATGCTCAGCAGCTCCATCTCTTGAGTTTAACCAATTCACTGTCCAAAATTTACTACTCATCGAACTTGTGTAAAATTGATAACCTTAGTGTGACTTGAGAAACCAGGACCTGTGTCAGCTATTTAGACATCCCGCTCAATGTGCACACTAATTAACATCTCTTCCAAAGAGAACCACCAAGAACTTTTCTACCATGTAAGTATTTCAAAAATCTGCTTTTCATCCTCAGATTTGGCCCTTTTAGATTTTACTCGTGACTCCCTTGAACTCTTTCTTGATAGTATTATCTGACTATCAGACCTCGTGCAATATCTCACTTGCTCCGTACTTTCATTAATTAAATCTTAACATGTTTCACGTTGTGGACTAGTGAAACAAAACCCTTTGATGCATCTATCCTAGTAGCCTGAGATCTTGAGTCCATACTACAGATACCAATACTTCATTGCTTTGTAGCCTTTAGCTACTAGATGACTTTCTGTAGCCTTTCTTATGGTAGCACCTCTGCTAATTTCCCGTTAGCAAATTTTACCCTTTAAATCACTTTTCTGAAACTTCTTGTTGATATAATTATAACTCATGCTTGAGTATTTTACAATTATTTCCATCACCTCACGTGTAAGAAAACCTTTTGTTGTTCCCACAAGTATATATCACTTGTTACAACAAAACCATTGCATTGTCGACAAGCAACTTCTGATTCTTCTCCATCAGATTCTTCTTGAGGCGTCCTTTCAACGTTGTTTCCACTTGACTTCTGATGATCAAAAAACAATTCAGAGACCATGATCATCATACCTTTGAGCATCTTAAAAATCTTCCTGAACCAATAACCTTAATACCGAGACTTATTATAATTCATGTTGTCTTCTCAAAATCTTTCCCATAAAACCTGAAATCTTCAGATTATGAACACTGTCTGCCGTCTCTTTCTCAGAATCCATGAAACCCTTAACATATATCAGACCAGCTAGTTACACGAATAGAGATCTAGGAACTAAGGCGTCCCCTAGTCCTAATCACTCCATTCTCCGCATCTGCTTTTGATATACTTGAACACCATCTGTATCAGTCCTTTTATCATCATACTTCATAAAGAATTATCCTAGAAAACCAGCGCTGTATCTTGATCAAATTCTTCTGTAAAAACTTGCATACAGATCTTGTGTTCAAACCAGATTTAACCTTCTAAAATTGCAGAACAAAGTCTCATTGACAAATCGTCAACATGTTCATCACAAAGCTCTTTTGTGATCGCAGCGGAAATATATATACTCTCTTCTAGACTTGAGACATGAAGTTGATTGATTTGAAAAAGACCTAGACCTTTAGCCAACGGCTCTTAGACTGTCTTTACCATAAACCAATCTTGTGATATCCTCCATCACAAAAATAACAAAACCAGTCTCACGGTTTGTTGGTTAGTTGCAGGACAGAACCTTCCTTTTCCTTGAGCTTGTGTACCTCTCCTGAACCATGAATACCTTACCCAAGCTCTGATACCACTTGTTAGGATCTTAACTTCGAATCACACATAGACATGTTGATTCTTCATGGTTTAAACACAAACTTAAAAGTAACTTTGACACCAAGATTTAACGAGTTCCCCTCATCAAGGGTACATCTCGTGTGGGAACCTCCTCCCACAAACATCCACTATCTTATCAAAGGTTTACATAATCGCTCTTAACCAGCGCTTCTTTGTGTTTCAGGTACAAGCTTTAAGAGAAACAATAACAAAGACAAAGAGAAGAGTACTAAAGGTGGAGACTCAAACTCCCACTTTCTATGGAGATCATCTTCTTCTCTCTTTGATACTCTCTTGCTCTCACCAAGCTATGAAGACTCCGTAGATCTCGTGCCATTACGGCACCCTTCGGTGAACCTCTATTAGGGTTAGTTTCTTGTAAACGTCTTCTACCTTCTTTTATAAGTAACTGATGTCGGTTTAGACAAACAGATGAGTTCCATTCTGGACTTGGGTCTAAAGGTTAAATGACTGAGGCCCATAACTTACAAAGCCCTTGTTGAAAACCCTAGCACCGATTACTTTCTTGTTGCACACGGAAGAAGAGTTGAATTCACATTTGCCTTTCCATCTAGAGGGGATCGAACCAAGCCCCTCGTCATGAAAGCTGGGGTGATCCGGCCAGATTCCGGTATCGATTATACCGATCACTGAACCGCCTCCATAGCTCGAGACCGGCCATGTACCGGAATTTGAAGCAAGACGGATGAACTGTGGAGAGAAAGTGGTATGAAGCTTAATCGGTGAATCTTTGGTGAAAGAGACATACCCGGGTTTTTGTTGAAGACGTTGGAGCTCCGAGTTGGTGAGAACCGCACTAAACCCGTGAACCGAATCGGTATATGTGTAGAGAATCTTTGGTTTCCTCCCGGTAGTAACCGAAGTAAGAGTTGTAAAGAACCAGGTCCGGTGATCGGAAAATGGTACCGGTTTGGCGGATAAATTCATGTGGATGATGTAAATAGAGGTCTCACTTGCTGCAGTGGACACGGAGAAAGAGATGAGAAGAAGAATCACGACAGTTATCGTCATGTCTGAGAGCACGGCTTTTCTCTCTGGTCTCTCAAGAGTCAAGATTGAGATAATTTGGTCTTGATGTAGTTGAGAAATCATTAAACTGATTTTTTTTTAGTTTTCAAGGTATGACACAAAAGTTGTAAGAAGAAGAGATTGTAATCTTTGCTTCTCTTTTGCTTTTGTCGTTAAAAGCAGTATTAGGTGGTATCAATGGTGGGCAACACATCTCATCATTGTTTCTTTTAACCTTTACCGGGGTTGTTTAAAATTTAATTTCTGAAAAATGGGTGTTTATAAGTACTATTTACTAGATAAAACTCTAATGAATACTTCTATATTACGCTTATTTTTTTTTTCACAAATAATTTTTCTATTAAATTGGTTTAACTATACATATAAACTAGGTGTTTTGCCCGCACTTGCGTGCATAATTCTCTTATGAATAATTATTAACTGATGTTTCATTAATTTAAAAACCAACATAATAAGTTATTATTTATGTTTTCAAAAGTACAAATGAAACATCAAATAATTATCAATGACAAAACTCAAACATCAGAAATATTTAAAAGAATATATTTCTATACTTATCTTACTTGATTTATATTTAACTATAACATTTATACAAATAGTTTTACTTAATTTATATTTGATTATAATTATTTACATGTTAATTTTAAATTTTATAATAGAAAAATATATTTTCACGATAACAACATAATACATAAGAATTAACTTATTTTCTAAAATATCATATTATTAATATAAATTAGTTTTAATAATATATCAATAATAACAAAATTAGAGAAATTCTGATAAATAATCAAAATTAACTAGGATCATGGAGACAATTCAACAAATTCACTTTTCAAATAATTGTTTTGATGATTTATATTTGATTATTAATAATATAATTTTTATATCTTAATTTAAAGTTTTATAATATGAAAATATATTTTCAGCATAACAACATAATACATCAAAATTATCTTATATTTTATATAAGATAAAATTTAATTTTTATATATAAAATATATTTTTAAATAACAACATAATTCACAAGAATTATCTTATTTTCTAAAATATGATATATTCATATAAATTTGTTTTATTTATAAATAAACTATATATAAATATCAAAAATATAATAAATAAACAAAATTACCTAAACTTAAGGAGAACATGACAACTATACTATTCAAACATAAGCTATCACTTATTACATGTGTGATTTTTCATTTGGATCATTCCTTATAAATTTTATCAAATTCTACATAATTTAATTATAATATATTTTAATATATTTATTTTTAAATGAAAATGAATATTTTTCATTAAAAATCTACAAATTTTTTTTTCCTAAAAAAAATATTTTTAGAAATTAGTTAATTTAAATTCTAATTATCATAAAATATCATTAATTCTTACTATCGTTTAAAATATAATTAAAATTTCTTATAGTTACTGGTATCAATATATATAGGTAAATTTCTTATAGTTACTGGTGTTTTTTTGGCAGTATGTTTTCTGCATTTATGTAAGACCAATTGGTCATGAACTTAAAAAATCTAAAAATAAAGAATGATATTGTCTTGTAAATATCTCTAAAAATTAAGTTCATAATCTTAGGAGAATTCTCCTTTAATAGTATTGATGATATTAGAGATATTGCCTCCAAGCTATTTTGAGTCTTCTTATTACGAAAATAGAAAAGAATAGTTAGGAAACAAAAAAAATTAACAAATGAAGATTCTTATACAAGTAAAAACCTTTACATATCCGTAATACTCTATTATCAAGAAAGGAAAAGTTGAAATGTATATTTATGTATGAAGAGGAAAGAGAAAACAATTTGCATTATGTTTTGATATTTTTATGTTAAGGTCTGAACATATATTTCCCTTGAAATTCTTACAGAACTGCAAAGATATAAGGTGAAACACAAACAAAAAATCAAAAAGCAATTATAAATAGATTGCACAACGCATGTTATCATGCAAGTTAAACTTGCAAGAGCATATCTGATGCTAATAGAGAGTTAACGAGTATGTGGTGGACGGGGTACAAAGTCCATCCCCGGTGGAGGCACAAACTGTGATAAGACGACAACAGAAGTAACAGTTCCATTGCGAAAACCATTCATATACATCTTAGAATCATAATTGTTAACGCAAAAACAACCACCATCACTGCTACGCCAATTCTCAGATTCTTGATGAAGTATAAACACTAGAGTCCGCAAGTTACCCGTTACCAAACAATCATGTTTTCGACTCCATAGGTAGATGATATCATCATCAAACGGATTCATAGCCAACGGGAAACAGAAAACATCAAATCCAACAGACGCCAAGTTGATTTCATTCCGCGAGAGTTCCCACAACAATTCACTGTCGTCGTTGCTACTACTACTCAGCCTCCAAACCTTCAATCTTCGATACAATATCTCCACGTACATAACATCTCCTCTTGAAGTAGTCAAGCATCTCCTAACGTATTTATTATCCGGCATAGGTAGAGGTACAACCTGACAGTGATCGTCATCACCGTAGAAGTCATAAGCAACAAGGAATCCAAACTCCTTACGAGGAAATATTTCCCACTGAGACTCATCACGAAAATCTTTTTGCCACATGTAGAGCTTCCCATCGATATTCACCGGAGGATCAGAACCATCGACAGGACAAAACGACAAAAGCTCCTTAAAACTCCATAACCCTGTCTCTGACGAATACACATGCACTTCCCATACACTCCTCAGATTAGCACTAGTCCTAACAACTTTGAAGCTCGTAACCATGCCGTTTTCGACACGTGTCACCAAACCAGTGGCTGTACAATAATTATTATTAGGAGGAGGAGGGATTTCGACCCATTGTTTTAAAACTGGATTACCCACGAATGATATGCGGTTGTGATGGGTGAGGAAAGCCTCGATCCAGATCAATCCGTTGGAGGAAGCTACGAAGTAGTATTGAAGAGTAGGGAGATTTGGGTACGGTTGGAAAGGCAATATGTAGGAGGATAGAGACTTGGGGAGATCATGTTTATGGAAGCCGAGGGCTTCTGTGATGGGATGGTTAAACTTGGATATGAACATGAGAGACCATGATGAGGATGGAGAGTTTGTATTAACGGATAAAAAGAGACGGCGGCGGAAATAAGGAGATTCGGTCACGGAGTTCCATGTTTTGGAAACTGATTTGAATCTGTTGATGGATTTCATGGGTAATCTTGCTAGTATCTCTACCAGTATGTCTTCTGGGATTGTTCTCTCCATTGGAGATTTTGTTGAGTTTTGTGGAGGAATCAGTGTTGCTTAGACTTTTTATTTTCAGGTCTAGAGTTATATATATATATATATTTCTCGGCAAACATCAGGCTTGACATATTATCATTTGTTCAATATTTTTTTAGGCCCAACTATAATAGAGTTATTTTCAAAGCAGGACACATTTCGTGTTTTAATATCACGGAAGAGCACATGTTGCTCCATAGGCATTTTTGGGTGGTTGATTACTTGATTGACCTTCAGAAAGGTGATTGAGGTTAGGGTATTATCGTAATTGGCTCATATTTTTCTAGTTGGGCTGGTTAGAGTTTCTAAAATTCAATAACGTGTGGCTGTGGTTTGCGGGCGTGAGAGGGCGATAATATCAGATTTATTTGTTGAGAGTTAACCTAAAGAAGTTAACTTCTCTTTCATGAGTTTCAGAGAGGCGAGAAAACGATGTCGAGTAGGAAAAAGAAGAAGATACAGTCGGTTCGTCGAAGGAAATCCCCAAGTGTGAAGGAGAAAGGTAGGGAACTGTTTTTGGTTTCTTTTTAGTTTATGTGTTGAAGTTTATGGGTAGATTTTGGTGAGTGTTTTGTACATATGGATAGTAAGTTTATTTGGAATTTAAGATGGGATGAGTAATTTATAATTGTACAACGTTTTATGTACATCCAGACAGCAGTGTTCGTACGGATGGACAGTAGTTTAGGATTGTTATTTAACATTGAGATGGTTTCTGTACAAATGTACAACGTTTTGAATACATCCATATGGACAGAAGTGTTGTACAGCGTTTAGTGTGTACATATGGATATATAATGCTTTGTACAAGGTGTTCTTATATAGCTAGTAGGTTATGTGGTTAGAGATGTGTTGTACAGGATCTAATACTTTTTTTGGTGTGAACGCAGCTTGTTGTGCAGCCGATGGTAGAACCTGAGCATGATAAAGAAGATGGGTGGGGAGAGTTCGACTGTGAGATTACTGATAGGAAGGTGGGTTACATGGTTGAGCAAATTAAAGCTGGACACCGATTCAGCAAATCAGAGTGGGGTGGTGGTGATTCAGCGTAGACTGACACGGTGTACAGTTGTACATCGGATTGGGATGTATATGAGGGAAACTGTGTACGCCGGCGTTGTTCGGTTCAGATTTGGAGAGGGATGGTTGTTCTCCAGATAGTAAGACAGTGTGGTCAAAAGCATCACCAGTTGTGCAGTGAATGATGTGAGGAGCAGTTTTAGGGACGTGGATGCCAGCCATAACTTCAGGAGCATCAGAACCTCCAAGGTCTTTATCAATCAAAGGGTCCCAAAAGTCATGTATACCCTCGTGGTTGGATATCTTCAAAACCAGGAGGCAATTCAGTGTCTGATGTGTCTTTTGAAACATTTATGTATTATAAGATACAAATGTATGTAGGAATATTGTGTTAGATTTGTATTGGTAAATTTAGCAAGGAAAACTAATAGAAATAGAAGGTAACAAAGGAACATGTCCACGTTAACATCATTCATGTTATGAGGCTCCCTTAGGACATCATTTAGCGTAAACTGTACATATGAACATCATTCATCATAAGATGTACATAAGAAGAAAACATGTAGACAAACTTTCCAATATGGTAAGGAGTATATGTGTACACAAACAACGATTTCCAAATACATTGTACGTTGTAAACATGTGTACAAAAACACAAATTTTCATATATATACATTACTATGCATGTACAGAAATGACGATGTACATATGGACATCATTCGTCGTAAGATGTACATAAGAAGAAGACGTGTACACAAGTTTTCACCTATGGTTAAGGGGTAGGCGCGTACAAAAACGACGATGTACATCTGTACGTTGTACATTGTAAACACGTATACAAAAACAACAATATCTTCATGTACATTGCAAATGCATGTACATAAATGAAGATGTACATAAAGTTAGCTGAGTAGAACATTAATATCTAATCCTGATTAGAGTAGAACATTTTCACGGTATAGCTTCTCGAATACCTCCATGAACAAGACCGACACTTACAAAGATAAACATTTTTGCACTTCCATTCTTCTTAGATCCAGGTTCCCTTCTTCCCTTGTTGTTAAATTTCACTATAACAACTATTTAGAAACCAAAAATTATGGGGTAAATGGCAGTTTCTACGGTTCTGATAAATGGTAAGATAAGATTTGTTTTTTTATTTTATACTGAAGAAGAACCAAAGAAGAAGAGATAGAATGTAGGAGAGAGGTGAAAGTGGATAAGTGATGCTTGATCTGAGCCATCGAAAAGAAAATGATTTAATCGAATGGTTGTGGTTAAAAGAATCTATATGTCTTATCCATATCTGTAATATTAAATCCTAGCCATAGGATGTGTTTTTATATCAATGGTTGGGACAAAAACCTGCCAACTGTACAAAAATTATTTTTTTTATTTTGCTGTCTTAAGATTAGAAAGTAACGATAAGAGAAAGAATAGTTGAGACAGAACAAGAATCGGAGTGAGTTAATGTGAAAAGTGTGTCTGTATAACAATGTGTCCTATACTGAAATTAAAGATGAGGAAAGTGACCTGCAGTGATAATATTTCACTATAATAACTCTTATTTTATTTGAATTTTATTGATTTTTACATTATGCCCAATTATGAAAATATTTTATTTCATATATTAAATTATTTAAATATCTAATTTAAATATTTTTTGTATTTACATATATATATATATATATATATTAAATAACTACAAATTTTTCTAATAATCTTTTAAGATTTACATATGTGAAGAGATTGAAAAGTATACAAAGTTACATTATAAACTAGAAAATACATAATATTTTTAAAAATAAAAATATAATTAATAAATTTTATTATGTTAATATATTGATATTTACATATATATAAGTCTTTTTAAATAACTATAAAATGTTATTAACAATCTTTTAAGATTTATATACGTGAAGAGATTGAAAAATACACAAAGTACATCATAAATTAGAAAATACATCATAGTTTTAAAAATAAAACCTAATTAATAAATTTGTTAAGAAGTTATACATCAATTTTCATTTAATTGTAATTAGAGTTTGATCCGCGCATCCGTGTGCGTTCTTTTAATTATAAATTATATTTATTTTATGAAATGATGATCTAAATATTATAATTTTATCATGCACGATTTTTTTATAAATGAATATTTATTTTGTGTATGTGATATTCATTTTGTGTAAGTGGTGATTTTCATTTGTGTACGTGATATTCATTTTGTGTACGTGATCTATATTTTAAATTTTTTTTTTGATGAAATTTCAAATTTATTCATCCTTTATGGGAAAAGAGCATTTACAAAAAAAAAAAATGTTGTCATGGCCTAATAAACTAAGCTATGCGTAATATGTAAGAGAAAAGAATGTAAACCAAAATCAAAACGACACAGTGTGGAAAAACCATCGCCGCATTAACCTTTCCAGCTTATGCCATGCTTGATACTTAAGGGATGAGATTCGGTTCCTCATCGCTTTGTCTATGACCTTACACATAGCATTTGAAGTCATCCAACTAGTGTGGTGCCTCCTTGCATTCCGTTCTCTCCAGAGGTGATTACATCTTGATTAGAATTCTATCCAACAATCCGCCGTGTGGTTCCTCCATGCGCTCTAGCGTGATTTTCCAATCCAGATCAAGTTGAGCACCAATAACGTGGTTTGCCAACTCATGCCCGACCTTAAAGGAATAAAAGTATGCAAAGAACAAGTGATCTCTTGTCTCATCAACTTCTCCACAAAACACACAACCTTGAATCACTCCCCATGAGCGCATCTTGTCTCCTGTAGATCATCTATTCTTGACTGCAAGCCAAGTGATGAAAGAAAAACGAGGCACCCCTTGAGTGAACTACACTAGTTTACTCCAGCTCACTGTTTCCTTCCGCCTACGAATCTGCTCCCATGTCTTTGTAGTTGAAAATGTAGTCTTATAGTCATCATCACCTGCTCTCCATAAAACCGTGTCTCTCCCGTGCTGAGATACAGGAACTGGTACTGCAGTAATAGCAGCATAAAGTTCATGATAATGGCGACTTCTCTGACCACGAATTGCCCATTCGTTCTGTTTAACCGCATTGCTGACAGTGGCTCGACGAGGTAGACCAATGTAAGTAGTACCAGCAGCTCCTGTGACATCAATCAATCTCCCCATATTCAACCAATTATCAAACCAAAAATAGGTTGATTTCCCATCTCCTACCTCAAACCTTATAAAGTCATAGGCAACAGCCCTTAATTTGAGAAGCTTTCTCCACATCCAAGAATCTTTTTGTGTATCCCTAACATCCCAAAAAGAGCTTTCCTTGATGAGTAGATAGAACTTAACCCAGCAGACCCACATTGACATTTTAAATTTAAATTTTATCGTGTGTGGCTTTTCATTTTTAAATTTTATCGTGTGTGGGTTTTCATTTTTACATTTTTATATAAATAAATATTCATTTTGTGTAAGTGATGATTTTAAAAATAGTAATTTGATATGACATTTTTAGAACACAATAACTTTATAATTTATGTTGATTATTATAAATTGTCTTAGAATTTGTTAATTGTATCACTTATATTTTTAGAATATGTTATGTGTATACGCACAACGGCACAAATGTGATTCATTTTATTTTTTATGGATCAAAATTATATTATAATGTATAATAAATTATTTTATATAATATTAAAATATGTTTCTATAAACTTTATAATATTCCACATTTGTAATATTGAATTTACATTAGAATACTATTTATAGAAAAACATACAAAATAATAAAAGGTAGGATTTTAGCCACAAATTTTTTATTTTAAATTTAGATTATTCTATTTATTATGATTGTGTTGAAACCTATTAAATAAATATAGTGTAGGTTTTCTTTTATTGTTGCCTAACTCTTTGTTAGTTATAATAAATTTAAGAAATTATGTAATAATTATAAAATAAAAAATAATTTAAAGTTATGATTATTTAATATTTCCTTGATATTGATTTGTAAAAAAATTGTAAGTTTTAGTGGTATTTTTTATTTGTACTTCTCTTTAACAAGATAGATGCATAACGTCCAAAAAGAAACGGTCTCATCCTAAACGTATCTCATATAACATTACACCAAATACAACAACATATGTGACAAAAATACGTTAATAGACAAAGAAATGATTCACAACAAAAAAATAGTTACATGGAAATCAAGATCTGGGAATATATATAGTAAATCAATAAAATAACTACGGCGTATATAAGATTCATATGAAACATAAGATTCACCTTCAAACGGACAATAAGTCAAACTTATCCCAAATAAACAAATATGTTTTCGTGTCCTATCACTTATTTATCAGTCACTCTAAATCGTCGACAATTTAAACTTCAAAATCAGATGTAATTTGCTCCTATATTAAGGAAAATGAAAATAATATTTATCACTAACCACTAAAAGAATAAACCACCATAACTCAATCTATGTTTGCTAGAAATTCATATCGACCATCAATGTGTAACATCTCCCAACAATAACATTCAAATCAGTTAAAAGAACTCACACATAATGTAAGAATTTATCTATATATATTGGTAATTTCATGGTTACAAATAATTTAAATTTATTAAAGAATAAAACATAAGAACCTACCACTAGTATAAGTAAAACATGAAACCAAGCAATGCAAAAGTCAAAAGACAGAAAAGAGATGAATCTGGATCGTTTTTGGGTGACTTTTGATTTATTGGTCTGATCCAATCATGTTTTTAATAGAGTTTAAATCTAAATAATAATCTACTGTTATTTAAATGATGATTATCAATTATATTTTAAAATATGTTGTTATTAAAAAGTGTATTTATAAAATCTGATTTAATATCCGATGTAATTTAATGAATAACCTAAATCAGTATTTAAAACCTAATGTTATTCAACTTTATTTATTGTGGAATTTTTTTTTGTCAACATTTACTGTGGAATTTAATGAAGAAATGATTAAAATCTAAAGAACACTGCAGAGATGAGTAAAAAAAAAGGAGCACTGTAGAGATTTTAAAATTCATCAACCTAAATATTTTAAAACTTAAAATTCTGTTGGATTGTAAAACAATAAAAATCATTTTAAATCAATATTTGTATAACACCTTTGAATGGCTTAAGTTACAAAAAATAAGTACTTAAAAGTCAACTACTCCCTTGTTTCATTAAGTTACATATTTTAGGAAAAATTTTGTTCAATTTTTTTTTTCCCGTGCATGTTTTATCCAATAATAGTGATTAATTGCAAATTTCAAAAAGAAATTAATTGCACTTATTAAATTTTTATTGGTTTAAAATTATAGGAAAAATATAATCACAAAAAATTTGTATATTTATTAGATGTTCTATTAATATGTGTGAAAAATCTAGAATAGGCATTATATTGAAACAAAGGAAGTATTATTTATAGGAGAAACACAAAACACATTCAAACAAACAAACAAATGCATGAGAGTGAAAGTTATTCTTAATGGGATTGGGCCGTTTCTAATTACAAATCGTCATTAAAAATAAAATTTAAAACTGAAAAAAAGAACTAGTGTCTGTTTGTCTCTTCTCCCTTGTCTCTGTGTTCCCAAATCATTCAACAGCTCCAGTGCCAAGTGGGGTTTTCCCCATGGAACTTCCTCTACTCTTCCTCCTAGGGTTTTGGGGAGCACCACAATTCACGAGGCATGATCATCATTTCCTCCACTTGCCCAAACGAAGATCCCCACGTTTTGGGAATTTAAACCAAACGATTCTCATCTCTTTGTGGCCATAAGCAAAATCCAACCCTGTTTAGGTAAAAGAGAAAGGAGATTGGATTTTCTGAACAATGCCTGCTCAGACATCAAGATCGGATAAGGAAGACGCCGGAGAAGATGAGCTCCTCCGGCGGAACCCGTATGAAGTCCTCGGAATCCCCTGCAACTCCACTGATCAGGAGATCAAAAGTGCCTATCGAAAGATGGCTCTCAGGTTCTTTCTTTCTTCTCAATTTCTTGATTTTCTTGATAATTATGATGTTTTTGGTGGGATGTGACCTTCTTAAATTTTGGTGGAACTTGGAAGTATAAGTGATGAACCCAACTTCATTAGAATGTCTTTTGTTTTGTTTTTTTTTTTTTTTTCTTTTCTGCTTCGTTTGAATTGTGACATATATGCTAAGAGGTTGAGTTATTCAGGTACCATCCTGATAAGAACCCAAATGATCCGGTTGCAGCAGATATGTTTAAGGAGGTTACATTTGCTTATGATGTCTTGTCTGATCCTGAGAATCGGCGTCAATACGATACAACTGGTTCTGAGGTTAGATTCATACATGTCTTGAATTGTATAAGCCATAAACTTTGATGGTTGATATGGGAGATTGCACCATATTTAAACACTACTTGCAAGTTCTTCCAGTGCGGTATAGTGTGAAACAGAGTTTAATTTTCTAGAGTAGCCATGTTTTTGTAACCGGTTTCATCAGAGTTGGAACAAGCATTTTACACTCTTGCAGTTTCCAAATATCCTTTAAATAACTCTACTGATGATTGGGTGTTATGCCAAATGATAAACTAAAGTGTATCGTGATGCTGTGATGTTTATGTGGATCCCATAGCAAGTTCATTGTGATGTTTATGTAGGCTCCTGGTCCAGAAAATGAAGATCTTGAGCTGGATCTTTCAAGCTTAGGAGCTGTTAACACTATGTTCGCTGCGCTGTTCAAGTGAGTTCCTAATGCAAACTTACACTTCTCTCTGTTCTTTTTTTTCCTTTTTCATTTCAGTTCTGAAGTTTCATTACTTTTTATTTGGGAGATAATTAACAACTTGACAATCTTTTTCCTACACAGTAAGCTTGGTGTGCAAATCAAGACAACTGTTTCAGCAAATTTATTGGAGGCGGCACTGAATGGTACGGTAACTACTTTGCCTCTCACGGTTGGGCAAGTTGTCTCTAGGAAGGTAGGAAAAAATAGTAGTTTTCTTTGCTTTGTATTTAATGTGGATTTTTCATCTGAATGTTTGCTTTCTCTAACAGGTTGAAAAGCAATCGGCTCACTTTTATTCTGTCACGTTAACAGAGGAAGAATCTCAGGCTGGATTGATATGTAAAGTGCACTCTTCTGCTAAAAACAAATTCAAGGTCACTCTTACAACTTTCTCGTGGTTTTTGTTTTTCATATTCTGTATCTTACCTTTCTGTTTTCTTTTGCTGTTTCAGTTACTCTACTTTGATCAAGAAGAGAATGGAGGACTGAGCCTGGCTCTACAGGTATGGAGTTTTGTATTGTTCTGTTACATTTTTTTATTATAAACCGACTAATAATCTCTGAGGATGTAATCATTTGTTTCTGTTTTGTTGTTAAAATCTCCAGTTTCTTAATTGTGTTTTTGGTTTTGCATTCTGAAAAAGGAGGACAGCAAGAAAACAGGGAAACTCTCTACTGCAGGATTGTATTTTTTTGGCTTCCCAGTTTATCGTTTCGATCCCAGGGTTAATTCAGTTAACTATCTTCTCTATACTCTCTAAGTAAACACATTTATCTTATGCTTTTGACCTGTCATGTACTCAGTTTTTTACTCTTCTGCTCATAGAGGGCTCTCTCCAGGGATCCAGAGACTGGATTTTTCAAAAGGCTTGATGCTTTCCAACCGCTTGAGATCACTGAACTGAAACCTGGAACTCATGTGTTTGCTGTTTATGGTACGTTTGTTAACATTCTTTTTACAGGAATCACTAGTCTTCCACTCTATTAGAACTACAGTAACCTCACATGGTTATATATTACTACTATAGGTGACAATTTTTTCAAAAGCGTGAGCTACACTCTAGAAATATTCTCATCTGCTCCATTCTCTGACGAGAAAGAGACTCTTCGATCAACCGAAGCTCAGATAGTGTCAAAAAGAAGCGAGTTATTGAAGTTTGAATCTGAATATCACGAAGTCTTTTCACAGTTCACAGAGATGGCTAGTAAATGCGCAGGCGAAGTACAAGAAGTGAGATATATTCACCCTTCTCTTCTATTTTTCTTGATTACTTTAAGAACAAGTTAACTGAGGTTTGTTGCTTTTGCAGATTGATGAGCTTCTCAAGAGGAGGAACGAGATATGCGCGGCGTACACAACTTTCCCACCAACAAAGCAAGGTTCAAGCAAGAGCTGGAGCAAGGGAAAGAGCAAGAAGAAGAGCAGTCTTTTAATGGAAGCTAGAGAGGAGGGAGAAGTCACAGTTAGAGAAGAAAATGGAGTGAAGAAGAAGAAATGGTATAATATTCAGCTAAGGCAAGACAAGAAAAAGAACTAAAGAGACTTATTATATAGCATATTCATCTTTTTGTACAATATCTTTGATCTCTTTTTACGCTTTGCTGGATTCAGATTCACATACTCGTCAGCTTCTTTTTGGTCCAAATCTCTGCTGATGAGGACTGTCTCAAAATATAGTAAGATCATGTTCAACAAAAGTATTAATTATATATTTAACAATGTAATGAAATAGTTTTAAAGTTAATAAATTTATCTATATATATGTGAAGTTTTGAACTTCTACCCCCTGTAGACTTTTCTTTAAGTATTGGATTGTCTGAGAAACAATGTAGCTTAGCTGTAGATGCCTTACACTTTGAGGAAGATGTGTCAATGATTTTAGCTTTGATTTGCTGGTTATGGTCAGAACAGGAAGACGAGACCAAAGCCTAATAGACTCAGGCACTTGTTCTAGCTCCTCGACTGAGATAGAGAACTGTGTGAGACATTCCTAGAGATGTCTGGAAAGTTTCTCAATCTTTGGCATGCATTCATATCAACTGATTCAAGAGATGCCAAGTTCATGTGAGCTGGAACGACTTCTAGCTTCGTGCAGGCGAACATGCTCAACTCTTTTAGCTTGTGAAGATTTGCAAAAGAGGACGGAAGCTCTACGAGACTCTCGCTGTCATTCAGAATCGGTCTCTTGAGATTTGTTGCATTTGAAAGATCTGGAAGCTCTTTTAAACGATAGGACATTGACAAATCCATCTTCTTGAGATTTGTAAGCGGCTGAAACCAAAACTGAAACATCAAACCCGCAGATCATCAAACCATGAATAACCCGCAAACCAGAGAATCCGAACAACTATTGTGTAAGATATAAAATTTAAATGTTAAATATGATGTGTAAAGAATGTAGAATATAAAAATGTAAAAACTTAGGTCTTGTAAATAAAAAACCATTATACAGAGTCTACTATGAAAGTCTTTAAGACCATGTGTCCATTGGACATTTAACTGTAGATTTTCTTTTAACTACTATGGTGCTTTTTACTTCGAAGTTTACTAACATGGTCATTAGTCTATAAATTCATCAACTTCAATATTTCAAAAATTTCAGGCTTGGTTATGAAAATGATTGCTCTTTTCAGCTCTGGCTTCTCCCAAACTTTCAAAAATATTAAGTAGATTTTAGAGGATCTTCAACCTCATTCCATAATTTACTTTAAAATGGAGTGATGAAGAAACAAAAAAACTTATTATTCTATTTATATAATAATTTTTTTTTGTTTCTTCATCACTATATTTTACAATAAATTATATAATGAGGTTGGAGATATTCTTAAACATGGACTATCATACTACCAACACAGCGACGGTTTTGTTTGCTTCCAGGAAAACTGAAAGCAAAGTGGATGAAACATTGACACAAGTCACACAAGGCATCATCAGTATAAACATAAAGCACAAGATGATTTGTTGAACCTTCTAAAAGTCATGACAGTGTATGTCAAGAGGACTAAAAGTGAAGTACTAATAATACTAATAACAATAATATTTTAATGAGAGAGAGAGAGAGAGGCAAGCTCAAAGAGTGACAGAAACAGAATGCAAAACCTTACAGCGATTAGGACCAGCAAAAGGATCATCATCATCAACGGTCATGACCACATGAGACCACTCAATGTTGCCCCAAATCTCACCTCCTCCTTGCCCTCGTCTCTCCAAAGAAATCTCAGCACACCAAATCTGCTGAACTCTTCCAACCATCTCGTCCCAGAAGAGCAACATGTTCCCACCACAACTCCCAAGTCTGGCCCCAGGAAGTATATTTGCCAACTCTTGGTTTTCAGCAACCGGAGGCCTATAATTGTAGTAACCAATCACAAGCTCGAAACCAAAGTGAACCAGCCTAGAACGAGAGATATTCCCAGTGAGAGCCTCCAAACCTTTCACCTCATTCCACCAATCCACGCCCTCGGGTTCCTGCATATCCAACTCCTCTTGCTCACACCAATATATCCTGCCATGTCTATTAATCGAATAAATAACATTACCAATCATACACCAATCCCTTTTAGGCCCTCCTATCACTACCCCACGATTCCCTTCTCCCCACTTACCTTCACTCGGCGAGTAGTAGTGTGTTTTCTCCATTCCATCCACCGCATAAAATTTCCCGTCCGCTCGGCAAAGGCAAAGAGAAATACTCCCAAGCTTGTTTCTTTGTGTCAAAAACTTCTCCCCAGCTCGAAGAATAATCATCCCACTTGCACCCTCCCACCACATATATCTTACCGTTCAACATGGCTGCGACAGCGGAAGCGCGAGCCACTCCCATGCAAGGGACGCGATGCCATGTGTGAGTGAAACAATCTAAGAGAAAGACATCCCGAGTCGGGTTGCGCTTTATCATTCCACCGATTACGTAGATCGCGGAGCCCAGTGCCACCACTGATGATTCAAGGCACTGAGGGGAGGGGCAAGAAGGGATCGGGATGAGATTGCACGAAGAGCGGAGGATAAACCAGGATGGGTTTGGGCCAGGAGATGTGCGTAAGGATACATAGACGTTTGTTTCGGTGATACCAAGCTGCGATCGGATGGTGTAGACCGATGGGGAAGACATTAGAGAGCGGTACCTCTTGGAGAGGTGATATAAAGCCGGGTGGTCCGATATAGGGACTCTAGCCAGGCAGCTCAGAGCCACGTCATATGGTAGCGCTGATAAAGGTTACGTCTCCTACTTCTTCCTCTTCTTATACGGTTGTAGCTTTTTGAGAGCAATTGGTCTTGGATAGTATTGCACAGCCACATCATCTGGTAACGGTAACTGGGACGCCTCAACCTTCGTCATCGCTCCCTTTGGATTGTTTGGGTACAGAGAGAAATCACCCTTTTTTATAGACTACTAGTGGTTACCGGCGCTACGCGCCGGATTTTCTAACTTTAAAATGGTTTTGCGGTTCATAAACATTTTTATCAGAATATTATTCTATAGTATCTAAGATAACTGAAATATTGATCAATGATATGAACATAATTGTTAATTAAATATAAAAAGAGTAACATCTATATTAAAATTAAACAATACTTTTTCCTAGATAGTTAATAATTCATCATGTGTATAATTATCTTTGTATCATCGCTAAATATTTAGTTATCTTCATATCTTTGATTAGGTCTCGACATTTTTAACTTAATCCGAAGCCCCAGCCTCAACACGAACCGAAAACCCTGAAATTACATCCAACTGTTACACCAAAAAAAAATCGAACAAACCTTGATAGACAATTTCAAATTTTTATATTTTTGTTTTGAAAAATAGATACACATAGAAACTTGATAGTTCCATTTTATTTAATTCTTAGCTGTTTAAAAGCATAGAACAAACCATAGACATTCGGGTAATCTATTGTGAAGAAAAGTAAACTAAATATAATAATGTTCTTATAAACTAATACTTTTTTGACCTTTGGTTTGCTTTTTTTTTTTTTGCTAATTAACCTTTAGTTCGTTAATCTTAACTTAACAAATCTTATAGTAAATTTGTAATAACATCTATGTATTACATAATCCATTGGATATTTGTTAGAGACGTTTATGATAAAATCGTTGTTATTGATTGTATTTCCATGTATACGACTTAGAAACTTTATGAAATAAAAGTTTAGATTATAAAATTTAATTTAAATATCTAGAGATATGAGAGTTGTCAATCCATCTTGAAGAATATGTTGAAAATGAGAAAGTTATTTTTGTTTAATTTATTTGACTAAAAATATTTATTTAAAATCACATCATTTGCAAAAATCAAGAAAAATTCAATTAAAACAATTTTTTTTATAATTGGACCTAAAACACTTTCGACAAATGATAGAATGATAAATGTCATTTTTTGTCACTGTAGAGAGGAAAAACTTTACTTTATTATATAAGAGATGTGTAAATATTTATTTTAGCAAAAAATTGAAATATTTTATAATTAATAAATCATATATCGCCATTACAATATAAATGTGTATATAACATTAATAAAAATAAACTATATATAAGTACATTGAAAACAAATTCACATTAACTTATATATCATATATGTTCATAAATAAATATATATATTAAAATTATTTGTAAATTTTCTTTAAAATAGAAAACTAAAACAATACTAATTAAATAAAAGCTTTATTTTTAATTAATGTTTAAATTTTCCTTAGCATTTATTAGTTCATTAAATAAACTAAAATATGTTAAATATATAAAAAAATCATTAAATAAAAATGACACATGACATTTTTTCGTCTCTATGGAGAAAAAAAAATCTATTTTACTATATAAGAATGTATATATAAAATTAATAAAGAATAAACTAAATATAAGTACATTGAAAACAAATTCACATTAACTTGATACCATACATTAATAAAAATAAACTAAATATAAGTACATTGAAAACAAATTCACATTAACTTATATATCATATATGTTCATAAATAAATATATATATTAAAATTATTTGTAAATTTTCTTTGAAATAGAAAACTAAAACAATACTAATGAAATAAAATCTTTATTTTTAATTAATGTTTAAACTTTCCTTAGCATTTATTGGTACATTAAATAAACTAAAATACGTTAAATATATAAAAAAATTCATTAAATGAAAATCACACATGACATTTTTTCGTCTCTATGGAGAAAAAAATAATCTATTTTACTATATAAGAATGTATATATAACATTAATAAAGAATAAACTAAATATAAGTACATTGAAAACAAATTCACATTAACTTGATACCATATATTCATAAATAACTATATATATATTAAAATTATTTAAAAATTTTCTTTAAAATAGAAAACTAAAACAAGACAAATGAAATAAACAATTTTATTTTTTAATTAATGTTTTAAATTTTCATTAGCATTTATTGGTTCATTAAATAACCAAAATATGTTAAATATAAAAATCATTCAATTAAAGTGACACATGGTATTTTTCCCCCCAAGGAGAGAAAAAAACTCAACTTTATTAGTAAAGATTAGAAAACCAAAAAGGTATTGAAAAAAGGAAAATCAGACTTAAGTTTTAAGTGGGCTGTTCAATATGGTGATACCGAACCGTACCGAACCGAACCGAACCGAAATAGATAATATGGTTTGGATTTGGTATATACCATATAAACCGAATGGATATGATTTTATAAAAAC